TGGTGATGATTTCCGCCAAAATGGTCGTGTGGAGGCGCTGGTGGGCCGGGCGAAGAATGCTACTCGCACATATTTGACGTCCTCTGGCTTGGGAGCGGATTGCTGGAGCTTTGCGATGAGACACTATGTGGCCCGAATCCAGAATGCCGTGGTGACGCAGCTTGGGGGTCGTTTCCCTCGGCTTCCTCCTTTTGGGACCAAGGTCTTTGTGAAGCAGCGCTCTTGGAAAGTTAAGAAGGAGGAGTTTGTGGAGAAGGTCGTGGCGGCTAGGATCCTTTGCCCTTCAATGGATGTGGCCAGGGGTTTCTTGGTGAAGACGGAGGACGGCCACTACCTTACAACCATGGTGGCGGTGGAGAACGTGCGGGAGATCTCGGGAAATTTCGAGGTAGATGCTCCGCCGGCTCCTTCTGATCCTCCGGGAGTTCGTCGGCGCTTGCATGGAAAGACCGCTGTCGCAGTACTCGATGCGGAAGCGGAGGAGCATTTGGCGCGGCTCACTGAATGGGAGGACGAGCATTTGCTCCAGGATGAAGAGTTGGCTGGCGCTTTCATTGAGGCGGGCGACTACTCCTTTGCGGCCGCTGATGAGCTGTTGGCGAGTTTGTGGCTTGGGGAGGACGTGGTTTGCAACCGTCGGACCCAGGTCTTTGGAGACGTTCCGCAGGTATCGGTCCATGTGCTGGGAATGTATCGTCATGGTGGTGTCGTTGGAGCTACGATGCTGGCAAGGACCCGGCCTCTCCTGGCGCAGTTCTTGGTGGAGGTATTTCGGAGGCAGCTGGGGCCGGAGACGACATTTACTACCTTGTCGATCAACTTTAACACCCCCATGGAGTGCCACAAGGACGGCAACAACCAGACGGGCCAGCTGGCCCACTTGGTGGGGTTCGGCAACTACGTAGGCGGTGGCCTGTGGTGTCATGATTCGACAGCTTCTACTACCGAAAAGTTGGACTGGCACAAGGTCCATGGAAGCTGGCTCCCGGGCCATCGGCACGTTACCTACCACAAGCTCACTTCCTTCGACCCGTGCAAGCTTCATCAGCCTCTTCCTTGGCAAGGCAATCGCGTCACTGTTTCGGCCTACACTGTGGGTTGTGCGGAAAATTGCTCGGCACAGCATCGTCATCTACTACAAGATCAGCTCGGGTTTCCTCTACCACCGCTGCCAATTCAGTCTGGTCAGCCTGAAGGGGGAGAGGGCGATGGTGAAGATGCTGCTGTGCGTTTTTGCGGACTTAGTGGGAGTCAAGGACCGGGGGAGAACCAGAACTCGGAATCTCGTGGCGCTACTGGCGGTGGTGGTCAGACTACAGGAAGTCAGGGACCGGGGGAGAACCAGAAATCGGAATCTTGTGGCGCTGCTGGCTTTGGTGGTTCTTGTCAGTGCAAAGGCTATGAGGTGGATCCGTCTTTGTGTACGTGCAGTTGGCTTGGGAAGGGCATTCAGGCTCCGGTGGCGGCGGAGCAGTTCTTCATTGGTGATGAGGATGGGGATGTGGAGTGTTCCGAGGATGCGTGGTTTCGTGAGTCCTGGGGAGCATACGGGCCACCCGCGGCCTCGGCGTTGCGAGCGATTGAGGAGTGTGAGGGTGTGTCCTACGAACTGGTGGGCTCGGAGGTTCCACTTGAGATGGGATGGGAACTTTTCGATGAGCACTTTGATCGTCTTCGGTGCGTGTTGGTGGAGGAGGAAAACCTGGAGTGTGTTCTTGATGAGCAGCCCTTTGGAGGTCCAGTTCTATGCCGAGCTGAGTGCTGGAAGGCCAGTCGTTTGGAGCTTGAAGATGAACTGGAGAGGTGGAGAGAGCTTCGAGATGGAGGAGGTGGTGAGCGGGTGTGTGTTGCAGCACTACCTTCGGAGGACGATCCTGAGGCACCGCTTCACACCAAAACGATCCCCAACGAGGTCGTGCGGCGCGAGATCCAAAGGTGGGTGCCTAGCATGCTCTCGGAGTACGAGTCTCTTGTTCGGGACAATGACGCGGTGGAGCCGATGGACGAGGAGCTGTTGGACCAGTGGAAAAAGGAGGGCCGCGAGTATGATTTGGTTCCGGGAAAAACCGTGCATACCATCAAGGCGTTCACTGGAAGGTTGAAGTCCAGAGCGGTTATCTGCGGCAACTACCTGGGCCAGAACTTCTCCAAGGACCAGAAGTACGCTGCCGGGGCGGACAGTGTCCTCATTCGGGTATTGCTCCGACTGGTGGCTCTGATGTCTTGGAGCCTATGTGTGATGGACGTTCGTACGGCCTTCCTTCTGGCCCCTTTACTCTTTCAAGAAGATCGTCCTACCTTGGTCCAGGTCCCCAAGATGTTCCTCCTTGGTGGAGTGTGCAAAGAGAGGATTTGGAGGGTCAAGAAGGCCTTGTATGGGCTGGTGACTTCTCCTCGCTCCTGGGAGGTCTACAGAAACCGTGTTTTGGCGCAGATGACTGGTCAGGTTCCCGAGGGCAAGGTGACCCTCGTTCAGTCGGAGGCGGATGGCAGCCTTTGGTACATTGTGGTGGGATCGCGCCGTGCGGGAGCGATCATCTGCTACGTGGATGATCTCCTCATTGCTGGGGAGAAGGAGGTAGCTCAGGAGGTGGCCCGCATGATTGCCCGTACTTGGAAGTGCACGGAGCCTCAATGGGGAGATGTTACTTTCAATGGCTTTGAGATCCAATCCACTGATCAAGGGCTTGTGCTCAAGCAGGATGCCTACACGAAGGACCTTCTCGAGCGCTACAAAACGTTGGACGGCTACGAAGAGGTTCCTGCCCCGACCCAGGTGAATGCCGAGGACTTTGTGACGACCCCGGACGAGGATGTGGCAGAGCTTGTCCGGAAGGCCCAGACGATCGCTGGGGAGCTCCAATGGCTGGCGGGACGATGTCGCCCTGAGATCTTGTTTGCGGTCAATGTTTTGTCCCAGGCCATCAGCAAGAGTCCTAAGGAGGCTGTGTACCGGGGAGAGCACCTCATCAAGTACCTCAAGAGATACCCTCAGGCCGGTTTGCTTTATGCAAACAAGCCGCTAACCACTCCGGATGCCCAGGTGTCTTCGAGCAGTGTGGTTTTGGAGGGTTTCTGTGACGCCAGCTTTGCTCCGAATTCGGGGAGGAGCCAGCAGGCTGTGATGATCTTCCTCCTTGGAGGCTTGGTGGCGTGGGCCAGCCACCGTCAGGCTTTTGTGACGATGTCGACCGCGGAGAGTGAGCTGGTGGCGATCTGCGAGCTCACTACATGCATGAAGTCTTTAGAGGCTTTGGTTGCGGAAGTGATGCTGACTTCAAAGGCCAACACGGATGGCGTCTTGAAGGTGCTACATTCCGACAGCCAAGCGGCTTTGGCTGTGTGCCGCAGCGCGGCGGGCTCATGGAGAACCAGGCACTTGCGGATCCGTGGCAACATGATCCGGGAGCTCCTTGAAGCCCCCGACTGGCGGGCCTTTCACGTTGATGGCCGTGTGATGCCAGCGGACTTGGGCACGAAGGCATTGGCGGCGGACAGGTTCGGCCTCTTGGTCGATCGGATGCGAGTGGTGCGGAAGCGATGTGGCATGTCTTCGAGTACGTCGGGCTCAACCACCAAGAAGTTGCTTGCTTTGATTTGCTTGGCGGCCATGGCGGAGACTGCGGAGGCTGCGGAGGGCGGGGCCCAGGAGACCTTCGATTACATGTTCCTGGTCCTGTGTGTGACGGCTGTGGTGGCTATTTGGGAAGGCGTCAAGAAGTCTGTCGAGTGGCTCAAGCAGTGCTGCGGGAGTACGCGGGCGGATCGGCAGGCAGAGAGGTTCAGGGATTCATCGACACCCGTGGGTGCCTTTGAGTCCCCGGACTCAACCTCACCTGGCGACACCCCGCGGGAAACTGCAGGGCTGCGAACCCGTCGGCGACCTCCTACTCCGCCTGTTCCCGAACGCGAACCAGTGCGTGATGAAGTTCCCTACGTTGCGCATCGATTGCGCAGCACGAGACCGCCTACACCGCCGGTTCCTCGTTGGACCCAGCTGGACCTTGACCACTTTCTACCATCGAGCGGAAAGCGAGACTACTGGGAGATTGATGAGCTTCGTCGAGTTGCGATTCGACATCATACCAACCCCAGGCTTAACCTGTTCGTTCCTGGACAAGCAGCTGGAGGCCCTCCGATGAATCAGTTTACCGGAGAGCGAAGGACCGTCGGATGCTTCGCCGGAGGTCGAGTCATCGAGCACTTCGATAACTTTGGGGAGATGAGCAAGCCAGCACAGCTGCTGGCCAATCGAGAGTGGAAAGGGAGGACTGAGCTCCTACTGACGAAGCCGTAGGAGTTGTGCAGAAAGTCTTAATTTCCGAAAGCCTTGAGTCTGTGTGAGTCTGGTAAGGGACTCGCTACTTTGGCAGTGGAGCTGCCGTGCTGAATCCCCTTTACAGCAAAGGGGGGACTTGAAACTTTTGAGGATGATCCCATAGTTCGGCCTTTGGCCGAAGGGGGAGTCCGTTTGAGTGCTGACTGATTGGCGATCACTCTGAAGGCTTTTATTAGCTCAAAAGGCGTTTCTCCGTTCACAGGATTACAATCCGGTTTTGGAGCCCATTAAACTATAATTCTAATAAGGAAACTCCCCAAAACAGTATTCGCAATTATTCAGGCCCCTATATTGGAAGTGTCTCGCTCTCAAGGCTCCGGGCGCTTTGGAGTTTGGGGGTTCAAGGTTGGGGAATCAGCCCTCAAAGATCTCCCTAGGGCTCCAGAATGGGCTACTGGAGTACAGAATGAAAGTTTTATTACAGTTGATGATATATACATATTATAATATATATATATATATATATATATATATATATATATATGTATATATATGTATATATTTCCCTGCATTGCCCTTAACAAGGAATATAACATACTTCCATACAATTCCCATAGCTTAGGGTCCTTAAGGTAATGCAGGGTTTATATCATCAACGGTGCTAGTTAGTAACCTACTATTTAGGTAACCGGCATCCGGGTCTGTCAGTAGGCAGAGGTGCGCAATGTGATCGCAGGGCGCGCGGCACTCCTGCATAGCGGCTCAACAAAACGACGACCCGACCTAAATTTCAATGTGTGTTTTCAGTGGGGAATGCAGGCTTTCACCAGGCTTTTTTTTAGACTAAGCCTCGACTTGAAACGCTCCAAGTTGGGGATTTTTCTCCAGGTCGAACTCTGAAGCCCCAAACAATGATACTATACATCCCAAAACAGCCCTTTGCATTGGTCGTCTGATTTGTGATGACTTAGGCTATCTGCAGTTGCAGGAGAGAACAGCCTGATCAAGCATTGCAGAGTCTCTTGGCATCCGGAGCTAAATTCTGGGACACCCTCTGCTGAATTTCATGAACTACAGCACTACAAGCGTTGAAACTTTGGAAACCCTGCAACTCCACTGTCACTAACCCTGGAAGTCCAGGCCTAAACGCTCCATAAACCGTAAACCCCACACTTCTGGACCCGCTCCTGGCCCACAACGCTTTCGCCCGAGCAATTAAATTCTCCCGTGCCCTCCAGCGCAGGCAGCGCACCCTGCAGGAGTCGCAAATCTTAGGGTTTAGGGCTTACGGTCTAGGATTCAGGGTTAAGGGGTTACGGTTTAGGGTAGTATATGTCTCCGATCGATTACTACTGAACGATTTTTGAGGCAAAGTCCGAACCCGGACACTACACCCCAAACCCTAAATATGGTTCGTCTTGTGACTATACGTGGCTGCCTTAGCTAAGAAGGTTACCGCTGGTTGCAAACACTTGCGCTTGTTTGATCTTCAGTGCATGGTGCCCTTTCACATGTCCTCAGACAGCCAGGTTTTGGGGCTACCGGTAAATCGCTAAACCCTAAACCCTAACCCTAACTGCCAATGTACTACATAATAGCGCCGAAGTACGCACGGCACCCATAGGTATATGTAGCCTTCTGGGAACGAAAGAGCTGCCTTTAGCGCTACGAAGACGCAGACATTCTATTCAAGTGGTATCTGTAACACCAGTGTAATATAATGCAAAGTAAGAAAAGATGAAACAATACAATCACACAACACAAACTCACATGCTACCGCGTATGATGTGACAGCGGCAAGACACAGTAAGATGTGATATGCTGCGACATGGCATGTTTGCGGAACGATGTGCTCAGGTGATACATGATCTCTTCGTGAAAGATCAACTTGAAAGCAACTCCAAAAATGCGGAGAACCGTTTACCTGCCGTCCCTGGTGAAAGGGTCTAACGGGCCTGAACACTAAGGATTTGAACAGGCTTTTGGGGGTATGTTATTGTTGCATGACAATACTGAGCAACCCTTCGAACAGTATATGGAAGTACTCAGGCCAACTTAGCCCTCTAAATGCTCGTAACTTCCCTCGGCCCACAACATAACAAAGGCTCAGGGTTTCCGGTTCAGGAAATCGCCTCTCGGGATTGAGAAGGCTTTGTGTGGTACCCAGCAGGGACTCCAATATCCCTTTACTAAGGAATATACCTCAAATTATAGAAGGATCCCCAATATGATTTTAAGCAATATTCCTGTAAATAAGGGATATTGGAGTCTCTGGGTCAGGGTGCTGATCAAAGAGTCGAATTTAGGTTTTACAGGCTTCACTCAAGGGGAAGCGCGGTTGGTACTAGTAGGATTTAGGTTTGGGGCTAGACTGCAGCGAACTCAGCATCCGTCTGAGTATGAGACGTGCTGATTGTGCTTCGAACTTTGCAGAAGCAATGAATGCAATTATTCTAAAAATGCACTGGCTCAAAGACCTTAAGCCCTAAATCCCCATATATAGGGCATGATCCATGGCCCCAAACCGACGCTTTTCTCCTGTTTACCAAAGAAAAAAAACATCCTGTGGCGAGTGGCGAGAATGACCAAAATAATGTAAGCCCTGAGTCGTACGATAACATCTCATATTAAAGGCAGTATGTTTTAGGATTTCTACTTTGATGTAACTGCAGACGCTAGATTAATGAACCTAATATTCTTCAACGGCCTCGATGGAATCAGAACCCTACAGAAAATCATTATTGAGGCAGGGTTTCATAATCAGAATTCGACATTCCGAAAAAGCCTCGCGAACATGCGTGCCTCGAGCCTCCTTGCTCATGATCTCCCGCAGGCGTGCATGGAATATTGTCAGCCGACATTGCCGGCATACACAAAGCTTAAACTAGACCCAAGAGTAACCTAGGAATAAAAAGGGTGCCCTTTTTGCTTTTAAGGGGCGTATAAGGGAACCTGAACCCTAAACAAGGGAATAAGGGCCTACTCTGAGTCCTAGTACATGTGCAGCTCTCCATGCCCCATCACAAACCACGACTGCAGCAACTCAAACCGTCAATCATCCATATCCCTACATGTCCAACACCTTGAAGCTCCCTTCCCCCAAACCTTGAAGCTCTCTTCAGGCCCTGTGGGTCCTGGCCTCCGGGCAAGCCACATCTAGAGCAAGTGTTGTCTGCACTGTGGTGGAGGTGCGCGTCAAGGTCGTGCTCGTTATCTCCTCGGTTTGTGGGTTCAACAGAGGATCTTCTACAGCTCGCAGGAGGCCGTTAGAAAACCCGCGTGGACCCGTGCTGGTCAAGCGCAACATGAACAGACAGACTCAGTATTGATAGATGAACTCGTTTCAATCAGCATAGACCTACGCAGAATGGCACTTCCTACGCGAAGCTGCGGATGCATAAGCGAGCTCTCAACCTGTATGTCGCACATGTCGCATCACTGTTATGAGGTCTCAAGGTCAGCAGCCCTGCTGTTTTAGGATGATCTTGGAAACTTCATGATGAGACATGATGCATGCCTGCCAACAACGAGATTTCTCAGAGGAGCCAATGTGAAGGAGGTGGACACCGTGGTCGAGTAGGTGGTACTTCGCGTAGACGTGGCCGTCGATGTTACGAACAGACCTAAGCCATCCATCCGATTTAAGCCGAGTTTGAAGATGGGGCCTTATTAATAATGGGTTCAAGTTCCTTTTAGGGGTTCCGCTTAAAGTGGTCTATAAGGATTACGTTGTGGGGTATTATGAGGGTTTAGTACATAGGGTCCTTAATAGTTCGCCTCGGCCCCGGCCGAAGCGGTCAGAGGTTCCTATTCAGATTCCCTCTATTCCCTGCCTCTTAGTCCCCTCCCCAGTCCCAGTGACCCCACCCCTCTTGCCGGTGCCGCCGCCGTGGCAGGGGGGGTAAAAGATTGAAACCTGTAGATGAGCCCCAAGGTCCGGCGGCGGCGATGAATTCTCGCCTTCCCCAACGGATTTTTGGCTTTCTGTAGGCAGTCCCACCTTCCTGCTCCGCGCCTCTTTTCTGCCCCCCTTCCTTGACTCCCGCCTCCCCCCTCCCCCGCTCCGGCTGGCCCGGTTGGGGCGCCCGTGCCTCGGCCCCTCAGCTTCCTCTCCTCTTCTCTTCCCCGCTCAGCGCAAGCTCCATCCGCTGCTGCTAGGACTTGTACAAGGCTCAGAAACTGAAGCTTGCGAGCTGTGGGCTACAAAACTTACAGGTTCGGAAATGCGGTGTTGAAGGTTTTAAGTAGCAAGGTGCAGTTGCACGAGTTAACCCTTTGGCGGATTGCAGGCATCCCTGCCCTGCCCTGCTTGGCCCTGCTTGGCCCTGCCCTGCCCTAAACCCTAAACCGTTTGAGTCGTTCGTGTTTATTCCTGTCGATTCTTGTCGTTAGGGGGTGAAGGTGCTCAGTCTGCATACCTCAACCAACCCTAAGAGCCGGGAAAACAATGGAAAAAAAGATGCCACTTAAAACTAAGCTTTAAGGTTTGAGAGTCCTTGAAGGACGCCTTCACAGTGCGCTTGCTTCCGTCACGGACGACGCCAAGCGTTTAAAATTACCTATGCTATTTTAGGGGTTCCTTATTACAACTATAGTAGAATATACCCCAAAACCCAGTCTGATTATTAAGCCTCCTATACTAACGACTGACATCACCAACCCGAAGCCGTCCGCCGTCCTCCGCGAACCCAGACCCTATAATAGACAAAACTTCGGACGGCCAAGCTGCAAAGCGGAAATGTCCCGTTGAAAGCCCTGTCAGTGCCACAGGTCAGGACCTGCAATGCTGCGGGTCGGCAGATTGACCAATACAGGTTGGCTTCAAATCCAAGTCAGGGGGTATGGATCCCTAAACCCTAAAGCCCATATCCGAAAGACTAAACCTATACTATTTTGGAGGTTCCTTATTATGAGTATAGCAATGGGGGATGAGTATAGCAATGGGGGCCCAAAACCCCATTCCACTTACGAAGGCCTTTGCACACCTGCCCGTGGTTTTTGGGTTCCCTTGGCTCTTTAGCACTTTATGCAATAGTGATTATCATCCCTGGCTCCTTAGCTCCTCCAATATCAATGCTTAGACACGCGCCGAGCCTCGGAAGGACCTTCAAACTCCGGCCCACAGGCGACGAGGCAACTGCCACCTGTCGCAGGACGGTTTAGGGTTAAGGGTTTAGGGTTAAGGGTTAAGCGCTTAGGGGTTTAGGGTTTAGGGTTGTGGGAGCTGCCCAGTTGCTGCTTTTGCGAGAGAATCACGGAGATACGATGAGAATGCGGACACGGGTTGTTGGGATGATCTTAATGACGATGATGACGGCGATACAGGTCATGATGATGACCGGCAAACATGATTCAAATTCAACTGCTCATGCATCGAGCTAGAATACAACGAGAGGCTGTCACAATGACAGCGGCTCCCACCACCACTGCCCCAGCGTCGCATTCACCATCAACATTGCCACAACACACCTGCGATTACTGATACCTGCGAGTACAACTGATAAGGATAGCTTTGGCATCGCGTGCCTGCCTACTCTAAGAGTTGAGGGAGTAAGCAGCAATCGACATTTACGAGCCCATGACCAAGGGCACAGTTGCAGAACTCCAACAACATGATGGCATGCCCGAGACTCTACGCCGGAAGCTGTTAACCCTCACCCCAACCCTGACATAGAAGCTGTGTAGAACCCTTAAACTCCAAAGCCCTCATAGAATCCCAAACCCCAGAACCCCCCCCCCCCCCTAAACCCTAAACCCTAAACCCTACACTTCGATACTCCCGGAGCGGGAGCTGCTAGCTGCCTGTTGTCACTCCACTGCAGTTGTGCGCATACTGGGAGCCCACCGGCAGGTTATAGACCTCGGCTTGAAGGGTTCAGAGTTAAGGGCTTCAGGAGTTTAGGGTTTAGGGTTTTAGAGTTAAGGGCTTCAGGAGTTTAGGGCTCAGGATTTTGGGCTTAAGAGTTGAGTTTCATGGTAGGTTGCAACGCCTCAGGCCCAAAGCTTACGTCTTGTGAGCTGCGAGACCCTGAGCCCTACACACCCCAATCCCAAAAAGCTCCTGTCAGTCACGCCCGCCTCGAGGCTTCTGAACTGGTGCCAAGGAAGCAGACAGACACGAGGACCCTACTGGCACCATGATGGTTTAGGGCCTAGCGCTTAAGGGTTTTGGGTTTGGGGTTCAGGGTTTGCGGTTTAGGGTGCACCCTGAATCCCAAACTCCTCTAGTTTTTGCAAGTTGCACACGGGAGGGCTGCGCAATCGGGCATCGCTCCACGAAGCGAAACACCCGAGATTTCCGAAAAGCCTGTGTTCCACAGTCGCTGGGGTGAGCTGCAGGCTGTCACACGGAGGATCCTAACAAGGCTAATGCTCAATCCTAAAAAGGTGTGTCGTTTGAATGCTTCTGGCGGTCACACTGCTGCCGAGCCTGCCAGTCGCGGCAGACCGGAAGAATCATCGCCTCATTGACTCAGGCGGTAGGATTTAGGGGGTTTAGGATGGCTTAGGGCTCAGGATTTAGGGCTTAGGTGAGGGCGTCGAGTTTAGGGCTTAGGGGTGACAATATTTGGAGGCCGTGTCCCATTACGAAGTATTTCGACCCCTATACTAGGGTGAAGAAAGAATGCAACCTCTTGGTTCAGGGATTGGAAGGGGCTTAGGGCATACAGGGTTTAAGGTTGCTGGTTTGGAAGTTATGTTTTTCCCGCTACGATGCGTGAAAGAAGAGGGACATCGCATGGGCAAGAATGCAGTCGGGTGGATGAGCGTGTGTTGGTTGAGAAAGGTACAGCAGAGTAAACTCATTACCATTTCATTACCTGTCAGGTTGAGATTAAGCAAAAAGCAGCAGTCGTCTAACCGTTAAGGGCCTACCAGCTTCAAGTTAAAAGGATTTACACTCCCACATGTCGCACATGCCAGGTGAGGTCTCAAACAGTTTAGGATGTACTGAGGGTGCATTGCATGGTTACCATGGTTTAGGATTTAGAGCTTGCCGAGGTGTTGGGTTTCGAAATGCAACCGACACAAGCTGTGACCATGACCGGGGTATATTTCAAAACTTGGAAAACTGCAGCTGCATCCTCTGGTGTTGAGGTCCACAGAAGAATTGCAAAGTGCATGCGGTTCGGCAGTTGGCAGTGCATGTGAGAAGGAGCTGCGATACCAGAGCATTGGGTGGAGCGCATCAACCACGTGGTGTTCCATGCCATCTGCTAATCACATGCCCAAACATTACATCTAATGCCCCAGCCTAGTATGACCAACCGTTCCACATGTAACAAAGAGGTAGCAAACAAGAGTGATCACAACAATCAGTACCACATTGCATTGAGGTTGAAATCCGTGATGGGGGATCAGTCCAGAACCGTCGAAGAATACCTCTCAAGCATTTGCTCAACCTGCTATGGCGCTCGTTGTGCTCGATAGAAACGGAGTCGAGTACTCATACACTGGGCTTCTTATCTTAATTACGGTATTGTGGTTCAAGACGGATCCTAAACTAAGACGGCCTAGGCGCCGCAGGTCCAACGTTCAGCCGCGGCATAGTAGCCGTCCGTGCAGCTTGCAAAGCAGCTGCTCCCGAAAGACACTCCAGCACCTAAACACCGTGTCACAGATTCGCACCCTTGAGAGGGCACATCCCAAACCAACAGAGTTCAACCTTTGCCAATGCTGCAGTTTAGAGTTGCGTTTCTTGTGCCTTTCAGCGTTGCATAGTCTGATCCGCTAAGCTTCGAAATGGCAACATCGAGAAACAAAAGAAGAAGAGATTAGCACTGCACTCGAAGCTGAGACACCCAAACATCATGTAGCATCACTGACACTGTGGCGTGCAGCTGAAGATTCAGTCCATGTTTCGGCATGCCTGATCACGTGCCGATGTGCAGTATACTACCAATATAAGACAGCGAACGTTCTGTTGCATTCTCAAGAAAGCAGCACGTCGGGCAAGCCCTGTCAGGTCCTCTGTCTTTGAACTGCAAAATTGAGTGTCTGGGACATCGGGTTCTAGGGTGTGGGCTTTGCGGTATTTCAGGACGTGGCTTCTTGCCCTAGTATAGCACCGGTAGGGTTCCATATCGGTTGAAGCCTCAACCTATCTCGACGGTTTGGATTTTGCGGACCTGCGCACAAATCGCACAACGACTCTATCCATTTCTGTGCCTCAGTCCATCGACCCACCTGTCTCTGGGGCCTCTGCAATGGCAGTTCATGTGAAATGCATACATACATACATACATACAGACATACATACAAACACACACACACACACACACCCACACCCACATATATATATATATATATATATATATACATATATATATGTATATATTAATATATATATTTATATATATATATATATGTATATATGATATCTATATATATATATATATATATGGCCGGGCTGCCCCCAGAGATGTTCCAAACCCGAAGCCCTGCTGCTGTCAGGCCGCAGCTGAAGGAAACGAGGTCAAAAGACGCCGAGGTGTCGCAGGGGATGGGCTGACATTGAAGCTCGTGGTCGTGGGAAGCAAAGCCGTCGCTGTTGCCTGGGCAGTTTAGGAAACCCTAGGGTTTGGGGTTTCGGGTTTTCTGGTTTAGGGTCTTTGGGCAGTTTAACCTCGAAAGAGTCCCCTGGAAGCTTGAACCCTCAACCCTGAAACCATCTAGGAAGCTGAAGCTGAGACAGTGTCTGAGAATGTACCTGGACCCTATGGAACCTACCTTTTTAGGGCCCCTTAATCTGATTTCTTTATATAAGTCCCTAAGAAGGTAGGTTAATTGGGGTGAAGGTAACATCTAGGCGTTGCGTTTCAAGATGGGCGGACCAGCCTCTTTGCTCAGTTCGTTTCGAAGAGTATCGCTGATATCTTACCTGGTGGAGCCTACCCAGAGACTCCAATATCCTTTAATGAAGGAATATTCCTTAAATCATATTAGGGATCCTACTATAATTTAGAGTATATTCCTTAGTTAAGGGATAATGGAGTCTCTGGGTAACCCCTGAATCCTACACCGTCACTACCTGCTCCATGACTTCTCAGCACCAGAAACCCTGAACCTACGGTTGATGATACAAACCCTGCACTACCCACAATACGAATATACCATGACTCCCATAGTCTAGGGCCATTAAGGTCATACAGGATTTATAGCATCAACCCTAAACCCTAAAACCCTATAGATCCCTCAAATTAAAGGAACCCCTTAAACAAAAATTATGGATCCCTTTTAACGGAACCCTAGGATTATCTCCTCTCGGCCCCTTGGGCTTTCGCAGTCCATGTTTGGCATAGGCTCCGGATCGATACATGAAGCAGTAGGGTTTAGGGTTTAGGGCAAAGAGTCCCCTCAAGGGGTCCTTTTTTTATCACTGGTGCTCGGATATGTTACAGTAGACGGTGCAAACTCACCAGCGCTCACACTCACAACAATCATGCTACCATCTCACCCCCTTTCGAGTGCATCCGGTGACTGCTGGACTTTAACGTCATCACCCAGAGACTCCAAAACCCCTTAATTAAGGAATGTACTTTAAAAAACGTAGGAGCCCTAGTATGATTTAAGGTATATTCCTTAATTCAGGGGTTCTGGGCAGTTCCAGTGTCTAGAAGCGCCACCAGATTGGAGGGTGATTTCCTCCACAAATGCCATGTGGTGCCCTACCACTCCAATCAAGGGTTACCACTCCCACTCTGGCAGGAGTACACTTTGTCTGATGCCTGATTCCAGGGCCTCCCTTCCATCGCCAGAAGAAATGCATTGCCAGGGAACCCCCTTTCAGGGTTCAAGGGTTGGGGTAGCGTCTTTGGGGGGGATACGATAAAAAAACACTAGAGATTGATACGGTATGAGTATTGCCTACAAAGACTGACAGATGGGAGTTTCCGAAAACTAGGGGTACCTTATTTTGGGGTCCTTATATATAATAAGGATCCTACTATTTAGGGTACCATATTCGGGTCCCCTATTTTCGGAAACTCCCAGATGCAGCTGATCCTTCAAGAACCCATATGTTGTCCAGAGCAGGGTCTCAAAGAAACCCTGCACCCACGTGAGGAACGGAAGTGCGCAACAAATGAGCCGTATAAATTGTTGTGTCTTTCGAGCTGTGTATTACCCTAAGGGTCCATGTACCGAAATAGTATGTACTTTAGGCCCAGTGTACCCATATAGGGAGTACCTGAATTCAAGGCCACTGTATATACTACATGAGTACATGGACCCTTAGGGTTACAGCTGTGGAAGCCACAAGTCGATGCGGCTCCTTTCCCACGGTTCACGATAAAACGAGCCTTTGAGTCGCTGCCCTTTTTTTGCCACCGGGCTTGGGGCTGCCCAAAGGCCCAAAGTAGTTCCTTTTAGGGGCTCATATATAGAATTCTATAAGGTAATCCCAAAAAGGAACTACTATGGACCAACTGGCAGACAGCCTGGCAAGCCGGAGTTCGGGTTTACTGGGGCTTAAGATTAGGGTTTCTGGGGTTGCTTTGTTAGGCTGACTATTCTCGTTTTAATCAATCATAGAAACGAGGGTAGTGCTAGTATAAAAAATAAAAAATGACAACAAGTATCCAGGCTTTCGGTCGGTCCAGGGGTTTCGGGGAGTTTTTTCAGGTGCCTCAGTAACTAGAATAAGGATGTTGGGCCCATTTTGCTATCATTATCATAAGGAAGGCCCAAAGTAGTATAAGTAATAGTAAGTAGTTATTACATGCGCTATAGTATACTCACAACTGTTTGGTATGCCGTGTTGCAGACAAAGTCCACTTCGGCTGTGGTGTTCACATAGCCAGGTGCACAAACTTGGTGACAGACCTCACCTGTCAAAGCCGGAAAGAACTCGGTCTCAGGGTTGGAGGCTTCGGTGTAGGGTTAACGTTTGGACAGCCGGTTTGCGCTCGGGGTATGGAGCTAAAGTAAGGGAATCCCATTTCGAGCATCCGATTGCTAAAACAGCATATCGCTTATTCTCAGTCTTGCGAGCGCAAGATTTTGAAACGCTCTGGTCAAGAGAACAAACTAGCGTGCAAATCAATGCCACCATGGTCATCACCAGCACCAAGGGCATCACATATGTCGAGGCCTAGTACTCTCACGCATTTCAGAATCAACTCCTGCCTCCACGCCTTCATCCAGTACCAGTATCCGGTATCATAAAATCACTAGCTGCAGCACCGCCACCACCACCATCATCTCAGTGTGTCTTCCAACTTTTCATCATCAGCCCGATTGTCAAAATCACTGCCATCGCCAGCGGCGCCACCACCATCACTCGCCGCCACCTCCACCTCCACCTCCACCTCCACCTCCACCTCCACCTCCACCTCCACCTCCACCTCCACCTCCACCTCCACCTCCACCTCCACCTCCACCTCCACCACCACCACCTCCACCTGCACCTGCACCTGCACCTGCACCTGCACCTGCACCTGCACCTGCACCTGCACCTGCACCTGCACCTCCACCACCAACAGCAGCATCAGCGTCGCTACAATCGTGGATGTGCAGCACGGCACCAGCATTCAAGAAAAAACGACCACTGGAATACGAGGCAAGAAGTTATCTGCTAGATCTCTGCTACCAACCCTTGCAAGTGCAACTTCATGTGCACACGCTGCCTGCCCACTTCCCCTTGCCGCGGACCTGTTCGCACTCCATCGCAATTGCTGACCACTTGCGAACTGTTCTGTGGCAAGCCTGCGGCCCGAAAAAGAGGGTTTCTTGCGCAGCGGATTGTTAAAATCAGGCTTGTTTGCGAATGTCGGGTTTGGGACTGAGGGCAGCAGTTTGGGTTCTAGGAAGCTAAGCCTATGCCACTCTATGCTTTGTGGCTTGTGCTTCTAGATTTCGGCCCCAATAATTAATAAGTATATTTGGGGCAAAGGCATCAATTGTGATACAAGCTCCGAAAGATCTGGTGTTTGCTCCCGAAAGCTTGAGCCCTACAACCCGCACTTGAAGTGCTGGGCGCTAGACCCCAAACCGAGCTTCTTCCTACAGCCCAAGCTCAGCCGGCTCACGACCAAGCGCGACGGCGAAGCACAGTTAAGGCGATCTGGCTTCAAGGTTGAGACGGTTGCCTAGACCTAAGAGTTTGTTTTAAAGGGGGTTATAAGGGAATCGAAACCCTAAAAAAGGGAATAAGGGCCTAGAGCCCGAGAGCAGCCAGAAGGAAAATCCACGTGATTCCACATGGGTGGTTGTCAAAATTATGGTCTTATTTGGGGGTCCCTATTATAGTACGGCACAGTACCTAAAAAGGGACCTTAATTTTGACAAGCACCCACATGATTCGACCATGTCAGGGCCGACCCCCCTCACGGTTCACAGGTTTTGGGTCTTGGGGGCTGAGTTCCAAGATTTTTGCTTGCGGCTGACGCTTTCGGTATGATGGAAATCATCATATGCTGTATTACGGTTAAGGCTGCATCTAACAAAGGTCCTGTCAAGCGCCTTGGAAAAACCATAGCGAAGATTATAGCAGTCATGCTGACATTCAGATGCGGGTTTCCGGCATGCAGAGTTGGCAGAAATTGACAACAGCCCTCCAAAAACACTGCTTCAGTACTATAACTATAAGTTTCATACTAGACAATGTACAAGATGCCTAGCTAACCAACAGATTATCCCATCAAGCTAGCCACCGTACTGTGCGGTGCCCGGAAAACTCATCTAGAACACCTTGTGACGGTCTCGGGCATAGAAAAAACCCAAACCTACACCAGACTCCTGCACACCACAAAGGCTCTGGGTACGAAACCGGCTTTAGATGCCCCTGTCCTCTGGCCAAATTCATAACCCCCCCAAAGGCTCCATGTACCCATATAGTAGGTACTTAGGCCTTAAAGTATCCATATAGGGACCCCTTTAAGGCCTAAGTGCCTATACTATGTGGGCACATGGAGCCTTAGGGCCCATGCTGCACGCGACCAGCTTACCAGGGGGCCCACATTTCTCCCAGAGCGCAAGAGCTGACTTCGTGTTTAATGCCACGGCTTCCTCAAGCCGGCAACTTCTTAAAGGCCTTAGAGCGAAAAATGAGACTGCAGCCGATAGGTCCGGCAGGCTTCAGGTTTGTTGGCACATTCAGCCGCTGTAAGTGCATGAGACAGCCAGGCTCAAAACCACTTGGAGTTACGGTCTAGGGTATTGAAATCTCGTGGCCCATAGCAAGGTTTGCATGCACATAAAAGATTCAATCACGGGTATACTGCAGTCGCATTGTCGGGCGCAACATTGACTTCTGCCATTGTTGCAAGAAGTGCTACATGTATTCGGCATATCATGCACCTCGACACTTTTGGTTTCAGCCGAGAGCCCTGGAATGATCGATGCCAGTCGGCTCACCACATGACAAAATCAAAGCTGCCTTGTTTCAGATGCTTACTTCACAGACTCATCGGTGATTGCGTCGAGGTGCTCAATGAAACTAACTCTGTTGCCTGTGGCCACGTGGTTTCGCTCCCCAAACACCAAGTCATGCCCACAGCAAAGACGAGTGATGAAGTGAAACCCTCTACTCCAAACCTGAAGGTCTTCTTGAAAACCAGACTTCAAGACGAGTGGAGCTACGATGGACAAAAAAACTCCAGTAGTACTCTATAATAATGTAGGGGCCTTAAATAACTAGAACAGGGTTTTGGGGGATATTCTAGTAGAATTTAATAAGGAAAACCCGAAACCCTACTCTGATTACCAAGGCCCCTACATTATCCTGCAGAAGGGATTGATCCCGATATTCCAGAACTATATAACATGCATGTGGCTCTTGCCTGGCTCCATCTGACTTTTTTCCAATCACGAGGCAAAACCCCAAAGCCGTGCAACCCAAATTGAGACCACGCGGACTAAGCACATTTGTGTTTTTGATGAAGCTATATGCTACAATACCATAACTGTCAATACCATAATTGTCAATAGTCGGCAGTCTCTTCAAAGACAGCATTAGACGGCATAGCCGAACGAAGACGATGGTTTACAGATTCGGCCCACAATTAAAAAGAAGATATGATCCCGGTTCGCCCACCGCACCCCCCCCCCCTCCCTGAGTTGTGGTGGGTTGCTTCCCGCTCGCTGTGGTGGGTGGTGTGGTCTGGGGGTGGGTCTGCTCGGAGTGGCTCCCCCTCCCCCCTGTGGCATGGTGTGGGGTTGGGTTCTCTTGCGGTGGTTGCCCCGGCGGTTTTTGGTATACTGTACTCATCCCATGATAATGATGAAGATGGGGACAATGATCACCATCATGATCATTAAATCTAGAAGCTTAATGTTGCTTTGGTTGGTCGTCGGGTGTCTTCTGCCCACGTGCCTGGTAACGACTATCGCTTTGTTGATCGTAGGGCCACTATCTTCGCGACAGTTGCCGCTTTGGGGGCAATTGCAATACGGTTACAATGGGCCAGCTGTCACAGGGATGCCTGTCAGGGAACGCGGTCCTCGTGATAGTTGTCTTGTTTAAGACCATCATGTCGGAATCGTTTTTCTTTGGGAAGTGTCCAGAGTCAAAAGGATCGGGCGATATCGGGCGTGTTTGGGACGCGATCCTCCTGACAGTTGACGGCTTTGGCGGCCTCATGTGTGAATCGTGCAGAAAGTGTTTGTACTGTCACACGATTCGGACGCGATCTTCGTGACAGATGACGGTTTTGGGGCCCTCATGTGCAAAAAGTGTGCGCATGCACAGTCACACAGTCGGTGGCGAGGGTTGGATACCATTGGGCCGGGGGAGGGCGGGGGGGGGGGGTTCAGCGAACCGAGAACCGGCATCATATATTCCACCCAACAGCTACCTACATCAACGCTACCCTAAACCCAGGTAATGGAGGGGCCGTGAAATTTAGAAGAGGGTTTGGGTGTGTATGGTAATAATTATAGTTACAACTAGGAATCTGAAGGAACAGTATGGGTAACCATGCAGGCTTCTATCGTACCTGATTTACCGGAGTTGAGTGATTGAGGTCTTCCGAATGCGGTCGGTTAGCCATGCTACTTAACATAGGGGCCTAATCAGGAAAGAATGATAAACACAAAATGAAAAGAGTCGTGTTGAAACCAGTGTTGAGGAGGTGTGATACGGATTATACCCGGCCCTAATCCATAAGCCTTAACCCTCACCGCATGTAACTTAAGCTTATATGGGAGTTTCAGAAAATAGGGGACCCTAATATAGTACCCTAAATAGTAGGATCCTTATTATAAGGACCCCAAAACAAGGTACCCCCTATTTTCGGAAACCCCCCATATATCAGCAATGTTTAGGGTTGAGGGCTCCCGGGCTCCTTTTGGACAAGGAGTCGGCTGCCAAATGGTTTTGGTTCCCTTCGAGCAGGTACTTTATAGGAACCCCCATTAAGGGATCTACCGAAAAACCCTAAAACCCTCTAGATCCCTTAAAAGGAACCCCCCATTGAGGGACAGAGGAGGACTGTACTGTAGTCACGACTCAACGGTTGCATTCCCGTTCGGAACTTCCACGTGGTCCCTGCATGCTACTACGCAGCACCAGGAAAAGGTGCAGCAGCCGACTCCACAAGCAACTGCTGTTCAATAGCCAAAACCACCAAAACCCTAGACCCTAAACCCTAACAAGAACATGAAGCTCCTAAACATCCAATGCGGAGCCGAACCTTCTCCTCCACTGCTAGCTGCAAAGTCACTACAGCATCAATACCGTCGCACCGAGTGTTACGGTTTAGGGTGTATACGGCTTATAGGGTTTAGGGTGTTGTGTCGGTATGGTTAGCTTAAGCTGTGCAACTTTCGGCGAAAAGATCCTGCAAGCCACGCACCCGGTTCGAGCCAAACATTCCTCTCGCCACGAAGTACTGAAATGTACGGCATCACCAATAGCTCCGCCCGGGTATTTAGCATGTGCATCTTTCAGAGGACAGGACATGCTTCGCATGCCAAAAAAAACTAAACACATTCAAAGTGCCCAGCGCAGACTCGACACATAATGACTACGGGTTCTCATCGTGTTACGCTTCTGCGTGTTGGTGAAGCAGCTGATGTGCTTCTATCTTTTGGCTATTGCTTCGTGCACAGCCTTTTGGAGTCTTTTTCAAACTCTGATGGCGATAAAAGAGGCTGTGGTTCGTCGGTATGAACAGCGCACGGTCGTACTACTCAGATTCCAAACTGACACGACTGTCTGCTAAACCCAGCTAGCCAAAGCGGGTTAGTGTTCTGTAGAACATCCGACTGTTTGACGAAACTGTCCCTCGCTCTAACCCAGTCTCTGTATACGTATATATATATATATATATATATACATGTGCTTATATGCAAATCTTTGAAAAATGCAGCAGAGGTGCAGATAAACATGCTGCTCATTTCGCGTAATTGGACTCATTTATATTCCATCATGGACAGAATATGTAGCAACAAAAATCCATAGTGGTGGCTATCCTGGGGTTCACCGTCTAATGTCCCAATCCCTCAAGCCGCAAAGCATGGGAATCCCAAGTCATACCCCCTACCCTAAGTAGGCGCGAAATGCATGTGTATACATGTGTGTATACATGTATATACATATGTACATGTATGTATATATACATGTCTCATATATATATATATATATATATGTATATATACATATATGTATGTATATATATATATATATACATTATATCTCTCTCTCTCTCTCTCTCTCTGTCTCTCTCTATCCTTTTTTGCATGTACAGACAGCGTAATTACATATG